CTACTCACGTAAGTTTTCAAACTGTTGGGTTGACAGGAACTGGGGGAGGAAGCAGGAGCTCCCTCTGCTGCGCGAAGGCTGGGCTCGAACTGCTGAAGTGTCGACCATTTCTGGCCAGCAGCTTTCAGCGTCATTAAGCCGCTGTGCCACCGCGTCCCCCCTTCAAAGTGGTTGGATTTATGCAATACACCGGAGAGACCCAAAGCCACCGCCTTGCGTCTTCTTTCCGGTTGGTTTGCATGGTCAACTCTGTGCTTTTCTCTTGCAGCTGGACAGTGAATTGGAATCCACGCTGGGCCTTTTTGACGCTGTTCTGATGAGGAACCCTCCCAGCCTCTCCCAGTACATCCCTGCACTTGTCAGCTCCTTTCTACCTCTGCTCAGATCCCCCTTGGCTGCTCCAAGGATTAAGGCCCCATTCCTTTCTTTGGCGTCGTGCGTGATGCCCGATCGCTTGAAGACCTTTGGTTGGTGTCGTATTTCAAACTGTATTGGAGAAAAACAAAATGAGAAAATGGTGTTTGGGTAGCTTGTGATCTGCTTCCTCCAAAGCCTAGATGGGTGTGGTGGAAGGGATGGGATACACCCATTTCTCTTCGGCCAACCCCTTTTCCCACGTTCCGCTCTGGTTTTTCATGGCTTCTGGGCTTAAATGCAGCATGGCAGCCATGGGTGTACAGATCCCTGAGCTGTCGTTCCCTTTTTGAGATTTGCGGTACTCGGCCAGTCTGCTTTTGCTGAAGTAGATTGCAGTCGCCAAAACGTAAAGCAGCGTAAATATGTTAGTTTTAAAGATGTTGTTCAGCTATACCGCTGTGTTATTTTTTAAACATTAACTGTAATTTGCATCGGAGGGGTAATTGTTGGACTGTACAAACTATGCGGGTCAAGTTTGTGAAATTTGATTTAGAAAAGGGAAGGCTGAATGGTCTGTGCTCCCATTTGGCCACATGGCAATGAATCAAATATCCCTTTTGTCCTGCCTTAAAGATTATGAGGGTTGGATGCTAAATTCTCATCATGTAATGAGAATGCTGGTAAAAATAGTTAACTTGTTCATTCATGTAGAAAATGTGTGTGTCACTCATTCCTTTAACAGTTCTGAGTGGCTTACGCAGGTACAATAACAACAGCATCGTAACAGGTACAAACACAAACCCTAACAACGCTATTAAATTGTCACTAGATAAATAGTTATATGTTAGTTTTCTTTTCTGGTGGGATTGATAGATTCTATAATCAAATGCTGCGCCTCTGCATATTAAAACTAGTAAGCTGATTTTCATGGTTTTTTCCCCCTTTTTTTGCCATGCTGGTTTTGGTTTTATATTTGAATGATTTGTATTTTAACATTTTGATTCTTTTTTTTTTTTTCTGTCTGGCCCTGGGTCCTTTTCAAAGGCTGGAGAGTTTATATACAATTAATGTCAATTGGAGTGTTTAGTTTTGCCAAATAGTTTTGTCTCCATTAGGAGCATCTGCAGAATCTGATGGTTTGGTCACAATGATATTGTCACAATGCTCATTTCGTGGTTTGCTTCCCTGGATACCCACTGCCATGTAGTGAATTTTCCATATTTCTTCCTTAGTAGTGAAATTAGTTCTTAGCACTTTTAAAGTGACAGCTAGTTAGCATCATTTTATGGCCTTAACCTGATAGATACAGCAGATATCTAGACATACAGGTAATCCTCATTTAGCAACTGCCTTGTTTAGTGACCATTTGCAGTTATGACGGGGATGAAAAAATAACTTTAGAGGTGAATATGTGTAGCTCAGGGTTGAACTGTGGAGTCCTTGGGGTTCTCAGGTAGTAAACATATGCTAATCAAAGAACTACCAGAGGAACAAAACAAAACCCCCACCCCCACCAGCACTGGCAAGGCAGGCCACAGCACATAAATAAAGAGCAAACCCCATCCCATTTTAGCACAGAAGAAGATAACTAGCCGGGTAATGAAACATTTGCAAGAAAAGAATCAAGCTCAGAGAACCCCAAGGACTCCACAAAAGTAACTTTACGACCAATCCTCACATTTACGACCTTCACAGGTCTGTAATGCAAAGGAAAGCTGAAGTAAGATTATAAGCACAGTCACAGTTTCACTTAGCAACCACTTCATTTAATGACCAAATTGCCAGTCCCAGTTGTGGTCGCTAAATGAGGACTGCCTGTACCAGAAAAACAGGATACTCTTTTTAGGAAGCAATTGAGACCAGTTATTTACCAGTTGTTTTTTCACTGCATGTGTCTGTTTTACTAAAAATGCATTTGCTGTAAAAGAACTCGAAGTCTTAGGGACTTCATTCTTGCAGTGAAGTACAGTGATCCTCATTAATAATAAAACAATTCTTTGGGCCCTCTCCAATAAGTTGGCATTGTTTGGTGAGATTCCACCACTGTTTCAACATGTCCTTCCTTTCCCTTTCTTTTGTCTTTCAGGGACTGTAGCGAGTCACGTGACTTTGCGGATGATGAAACCGGAATGCGATTTGGATGAATCCTGGTGCCAGGAAGACTTGCCCACAGCTGTGAACAGAGTTATTAGTTTGCTACACACACATACCGTGCCTGCCCGGATAACCAAGGGAGAGGAGGGTGAGGCCTCGCTTACATTCAGATATTCAACATACAACAATTCTTGTACTCATTTTCTTACTTTTTATCTTCCTGCATCTTTTGATCTGACGCAGAGCAACAGCAAATTCCAAATTTGCTATTGAAGGCCCTTGGAATCTGGCTTCTCCCAAGTGATTATCTAAGTTAACTTAGACCTGGTTAGCAAGGCTGAGAAAATAGGCAAGGGAATCTCAAGGTTCATAGAATGGATTGTGTCATTTCCTGCACTGTTGATAATAAGGGTTTCCCAGTAGCCAACCACAAGGGTACCCTGGCAATTCCTAGAATGGGTGGCAAAATTTACTATGGGCAGATGGTAGCAAGATTGTCAAGTTTCACTCAAAATCTTGGAGTTGTTCCCACACAAAAATCTTACAAGATTTCAGATAGGAACCTCACAATCTTGTATAATTTAACGTTCTCGTGAAATTTCAGCCTTTTAATTAAAAACATTTTTTTTTTAATCTTGGGGACTGTGGGAAAGTCACCTGTGCCATGGTGTTCAGTGGCATCATGTTGCTGTTCTCTGTTTTTCATGGTAGTCCTCCACAGTTCTTGATGATGTTGAAGAGGTCTCTGTAAGGACAACATTGAGGAGTTTTAGGTTTACATATAGCTCCCCCAGCATGTATGGTGCTCCAGGCATTGAAAGGTGAAGGGTCAACAGATGATAGAGTAATAAGAAGAAGAAGGTGATTTGAAAATGGGAGAGTGGCATGTTTGCACTGAGTAGGAAAGGAGAAGAGAAGAGAAGATAGAAAGGTTAATTCTGTGTGGATTATTGGCTGGAGAGATGATGCTCAGGGAAATGAGAATGTGTGGGAATGTGTTGGGGTTCATTAAGGCAGCATGATTCTCAATTCATCAACAAAATAGAGAAATATCAAGGAGAGGGCAAGAAGAAGAGCCATCAGTGTGCAGCTGGTTTGATTTTATCAGGGAAGAAGTTGTAAGTGTGGTGAGTAATGGCCAATTCTTAGCAAAGCTTCAGAGATAGAAGCTCAATAGCCTCCTGGATTAGGTATGGATTAGGAAAGTGTGACAGTGCAGCTTACCCAGCAAGGAAGAAAGCATGACTGGATACCAAACAAAGTCATCCCGCTCTTTCATGATCCTCTAGAGGAGTTCAACTGCTGGAAAAGTTGAGTGATGAGGTTGGTAATCAAGCCACTGGAGATGAAATAGGTTAACAGTGCAGTGGAAGAGAAGGGCAGACAGGTGGAGAGTTGGCAGTACAGATAAATTGCAAGCAAGAGCTACAAAACCTGCAGAAAAGACAATAGGAGCAGAGAAGGCAACAGGTAGGACTGGAGCTCAAGGAAGGAGAGCATGGATGGGCAAATGTAGAAAACAAGGGAAAGGCAGCTCTGCAGTCAAGCAGGGATAGGCAAGGAGGGCTATTTTTTAATGATTGGGCTGAGATAGTCCTTGGGTGGAAGCCCATGGATATTCTACGGTGTTAGGCTAGATTGGAAAGTTGAAAAAGCATGGTGAAGAAGGCAGTAGCAAACCACTTCTGTTTGGCTGCCCAGAAAACATATGTAGGTGTTTCCATAAAGTCACCTGCAGCTAAGCTGAATAAGGAGGCTTAACTTTTACTCCATTAAGAAGTAGAAGAAAAGTTGGGAGTTGTAGTTTGACACCCAAGAGGCTATTAGGTTGGAGGTTTCAGTTCTAATTACTGAAAGTAAGCTATTCTCCTTACTTCTGTCAGAGTTTGTACTCCGGATTCTCTTTGTTCCTGTTCAGTAGGAAGTGTGTTGCGCAGAACCTGAATCCAGCAGGCCAACCTCAAACATATAATGCATGTGGGATTTGTCTACATGGATGCATCCTTACTTCTTTGTTTTCTCATCCTTCCACTGCCCACTACAGGTCCTGTACCATTATCAGCCCCAGCATTTTCCTTAGTCTTTCCTCTTCTGAAGATGGTGCTGCTGGAGACACCGAATGACAGTGAAGAGAAGGAAGAGCTGATGGTGAAGGTTTTGCAGATCATCACTGTTCATGCTCAACTGAGGTCATCTACCAGTAATGGGAATTGGCTGGTGGATGAGGTTAATGTCCTTTTTGTTTCTTTTCCAAGTGATTTACCACCAATGCTGAGAGATGTTTCAACCTGCTTGAAATCAGGAGCTCCAGGGTCATGCAGATTGGATCGGATTCAACAGTTCAAAATGTGGGGAGTGGGTTTGGGGATTTGATTTGACTGAGTCAGTTTGGAAAATTGTATTACAGGTCGTCCTCATTTAGCGACTGCCTCATGTAGTGACTGTTTGCAGTTACGATGGTGATGAAAAAGTAACTTTATGACCATTCCTCCCATTTATGACCTTTGCAGGTTTGTAAAGCAAAGGAAAGCTGAAGTCAGATCATAAGTGCAGTCACAGTTTCACTCAGTGACTGCTTCACTTAATGACCAAGTTCCTGGTCCCAATTGTGGTTGCTAAATGAGGTATACCTGTACAGAGGTTCAGCCAATGAGCTTCATATCTTTAAATAAAAGCTCTGCCCATCACATTCCTTCTAAACATAGGTACTAGAAACCCAGATTAAATATAAAAAATTTACTTAGTCTTTTTGTTTCCATCGAATTTCTCTCCTTTTCCTGCCTCTTGGCTTGACAGTCATCCCCCACTCTTCAGCTGAATCCAGTTTTAGCATCACAGTCTCCAGATTTCATTCCTCAAAGAAGAACCACCTGCTAACATAATCTTCCCCTACCTGGAGCCCTCCTCATATGGGCACTACAAGCTGGGAAACCTGGGAGCTGTAGTTAAAGCACATCAGGAGGAACTGTAGAACTCCTAATTGTAATGCGCACTCTGATTTTTAGACTCCTCTGCCTGTTTTCTCCCTATCGCCTCCTTTTTCTCACATTTTCCTGAACTATTCTGGAGAACTTGAAAGTTCCACCCTGTTCAGTGGTGTTTCAGTTGATCTCATAAAAGGTTCTGTTGCACTGCTTTAAAAGTTGGATTTCCCCCCACCTCCTTGGATCAACTTAGCTGTTTTTTTAATGGGTTGTACAGTTATTTTTGAGGTTCAATGACAAATGTGCACTTCTTTTCTTCCCTCTGTTTTGTGTGACCACCGACCAGAACGGTCCCGAGTTACTTCCTCGTACAGACATGCTGCTGCTTCTGACTAAAGTTATTGGGACAGGATCTCCACGTGTACAGGTCAGTTGATCCCCCCCCTTGATCAGAGAAGGGGGAGATGCAGATCCTCGAGAGTCGTGCCTGCCAGTTCGATGGTGGTGGATCTTCACGGTCTGATTAAAGCTCTTACTCTGTGTCAGGTTTTGGGTTCGGTTGCGCTGACAGCCTTGTGTGCCAGTAGCAGTGGAGAGAATGGTTGTGCCTATGCAGAACAAGAGGAAATTGATGTGTTACTTCAGGCTCTTCAGTCACCGTGCATGAACGTTCGAGATGCAGCTCTCCGGGTCAGTTGGAATCTCTTTCTTGGACTGAGTGGAGGTTCGGCGATAGGATCTGAATTTCTTGTGTGCCGCTGGAATAAAAGTTAGAGGGGAGGGACGCACAAGTTTTTTTACACCGAGAGTGATCCTCAGCTTTTGAATCATGGGCCTAGGCGGGGGCAAAAAACTCTTATCTGATTTAATTTCATTTAAATGTACTCACAATTAAAATAGCAGGGTACTGTTAATATGGCTGTTCTCCATCTACTTAGTTGGTTCCCCCATCTTTAAACCCTTCAGATCAGGGGCAAGTTCAGCAGGGTCTTGGATGAGCAACACCCGAGTTGTACAGAGGCTGCATGTGGCCCTCGGGCCCCAGGCTGTGTCCTCCGTTTATAGGGGTAGAAGTTAGTTCTTGCATGGTCATAAGAAACTGTTAGGCCCAGCCCAAGCACAACGATGAAACAGTCCAGTCGAGTACAGTTCCTTTATTTGATAGAATAGAAACAGTATGACCTACTCCAAAATATTAGCTCCTGGAGTGGGTGGGAGAAAGAGGGATAAGAAAGCTCAAAAAAGACCCCAGTTGCTCAGAGCAGAGCATTTCATATATGAAGAAAATATATATTTCCAGTTCAAAATGATTCTGCTGATAACATTCTTTTCTGACCTTTAGGGTTTGACGGAACTGCAAATGGTGTTGCCCACTCCAGACAGTGATGAGAAGAACGGGATGAACCTTTTGCGCCGCCTCTGGGTGGTGAAGTTTGACAGGGAAGAAGAAATCCGCACATTGGCAGAGAGGTGGGCATTACAGTCCTTTGAAGGAGGGAGACATAATCATATAATCCTGACATTCCCCACCCCCCAGACTGAAATTAAAATCTCTTGAGGTAAAATCTCTTGAGATATCGGCCATCTCATCCCCAAGATCTTGGTCCTAGAAAACATGAGAGAGAAAAAAAATCCAGATTCTCCTACAAGAGAATTTGAATTTTGCAGCCTGAATGTTTTGTTTGAATTAAGCATGCATGCATCATTTCTCTTACTTTGCATCTCTGATCTGCTTGTGGGTGTTATGGGGAAGGGCAGAGACAGAGCACTGCAATTTTTCACCCCAGAGATCTTTCTGGAGGATGATGAAGCTCCAATGTTCTTGTCTCCTAGGCTGTGGGCATCGATGGGTTTAGAATTGCAACCAGATATCTGCTCGATCCTCATCAAAGATGTCATCCACCATGAGGAAGCTGTGCGCCAGGCTGGGGCAGAAGCCCTTTCCAAGGGGGTTGAACAGTATCGAAGCCAGACAAGGGATGTCATGGCCAAACTGATGGAGATTTATCAGGAGAAACTCTATGTAAGCCCTTGGTGATGGAAGAATGAGCATGGCTGATGATGAGTCCATATGTTTATACTGAGTTAGAGGTGTGTCTCTTAAGGGGCTGAAACCCGAGGATTCGTAAAAGTAGTCTGAAGTAGACTTGGAAGGAACTAAGAGGTGGTTTGACCTGGATGTACTGGCTGAGAGTTCTCTCTTGCACATGTGCTGGAATAAATCTGTGCTGGCTTGTTTGAGCTCCAATTCTAAATGATTTGGCCATTGCAGATCTGAGTTTGTGTCTTCTTCCCTGAAATAGAGTAGTGGTGGGCAGCGTCCATCTTGCAACTTGCATGTTCTGTCTTGCTTTGTACTAAAATTTTCATTGTGCGCAGTCAGGAGGCTTCCTTCTTTGTTATCTACTCTTACGTTGGCCTACTTTCAGTTGGTATGATGCTATTGTTACAATATTATGAGGTCACCACAAAGGTACAGAACGTAGTGTGCTTGGACCTACTGCTTTGGAATGGAGGCCTTTGGCCTGTCTCTATCAGATGGGATAAGATGGCCCAAGAAGGAATACAGCATCTGAAACATAAGCTTTATTTGCCCACTTCATGGTGGTGGGACAAGGTTTCTCATCAAATGCTTTTCGTCCTTCTCAGAGGCCCCCACCAGTTTTGGATGCTCTGGGACGTGTGATATTGGAATCTCCACCTGACCAGTGGGAAGCCAGGTAAGTCTCCTTATAATTCTCTTTCCCCCAAATGATGAACTTCAGATTTCTTCAAGGCAAGGTAGAAACTAAGGATAAGGAACTCCAGATGTTTTAATTCAACTCATGCAATTCCTTCCCAGCTAGTTGGGCTTGAGGGAGAATAAACGTCCAAGCAACTGAAGGTCACTAAATTGGCAAAAATAACTATTACACTACATGATTATCACTAAAGATTAAATTACCTCTTTAGGTGTGGCATAGCTTTGGCCCTGAATAAACTTTCTCAGCACCTGGAAAGCTCGCAGGTGAAGCCTCTTTTCCAGTTCTTTGTACCAGATGCCCTCAACGATCGTCACCCTGAAGTCCGAAAGTGTATGCTGGGTGCTGCCCTCTCAGCCCTCAATACCCATGGCAAGGTAGGTTAACATTCATCAAACGTGCTAGGTCTGTTTAGCTCAGAATTATTGACAGCAGGGGACTGCCATCAAGGACTCATCAACTTTTGAGTGGAATGTTGGAAACCTTCTCCAATCACAGTCAAAGCCTGGACAATTGGATCTTTTGTTGAATTAAATCCAATTAAAATCATTGTATCTAGGCTATTTATCCCCCCTGCATTGTATTATTTTGCCTTTTGTCACCTCAGAAATGACTGTTACATAGCAACTCTTAGGGCATCTCTGGAGGCCACATCCAAGACTTGAGGGAACATGCTTTCTTGAGGTTCTGGTTCAATGTTCTTCATCTGCCCAGCTACCACAAATTAAAATAGCAGATATTTCCATGCCCTGTATGAAGTCCAAAGATGCATTTTTCAGCTAACCCCTGTTTTCCATAGTTGCCAACTTACACTGGGTCCTGTTTTTCAGGAGAGCGTCAACTCCTTGCTGCCGGTGTTTGAGGAGTTCCTGAAGAATGCTCCCAACGATGCTAGCTATGACGCTGTCCGACAGAGTGTAGTCATTCTCATGGGGTCACTGGCCAAGCATTTGGACAAAAGCGATCCGAAAGTAAAACCAATTGTGGCCAAACTGATAGCAGCACTTTCTACTCCATCCCAACAGGTGAGCAATCCTTGGTGTAGTTTGCTGAGAGATGTAAGGGTCCCTACTTTAGAGCCACCTGCTAACACAATGAAAGGGAGCTATAGGGCCATGCATATTCAAGAAATGTTTTCTCCCTTTCTATCAAGTTGCTGGCCTCCATTCTTCCTGCTTTTCCATAACTTTTCTTTCATGGTTCAGGGCCTGGACATCTGCAGGACCTTCTTCTCCCAGTAACATCTTCCCACCCAGTAAGAATTAGTGGGGTGGGCTCTTTATGTGTCCCTTGATTGAGAATGCCACTTCCAGGGGCCATAGAAACATGTCTTTTCCCTTGCTGACCTCCTCTGGAATAGTATCCCCCCCAGACATTCAGATGGGTCCTTCCTCCTGATCTTGAGAAAGTCAGTGAAGATTTGACTATTCTATCAGGCCTCGGTGTCAGGGCTTTCAGAATTGTTGCTCAGGATGAGTCCCATTTCAATTGTGTTTTTTTCAGTGTTGGACCCCTGGTGTGCAGAATTGTTTCTACAGTATGTTTTTGGTTTTAACGTTTGACTATTATGCATTGTTTTAACTCAAATTATGGATTTGGGGGAATTGCAGGCCATTCAGAGCTGGTTGATTGGAGCAGATAAATAAATCAATAAAATCTGTGGGTTTGCTACTGAACTCCTGCTGCAATTGCATCGGGATTGTTTCCCCCTTTTCTATCCCTTTTCCAGGTTGGCACTACAGGTAGTTCTTGATCTATGACCTTTTGTTCAGCGACCATTCGAAGTTACGACAGCGCTGAATGAATGGTGGTTACGACCAGTCCTTGAAGTTATAGCCGTCCCAGCACCCGTGTAGTCACGTGATTGTGAACTGGGGACTTGGCAACTGGTTCACACTTACAGCTGGTTGCAGCGCTCCATGATCATGTGATCGCCATTTGCAACCTTCCCTGCCGGCTTCCCCAAAAGTCAATGGGGAAGCCAGCAGGGAAGGTCGCAAGTCACTGGGGTAAGTTTCTCCCACCTGTGCACTCTCGCCCAGCCCCTCTATACTTGTGCCACGCTGGCCACTCACGCACCCCTGAGCACCCTTGCACACCCTCTCTGAACCATGCCACACCCTTGCACACCCTCCCCATCCATGCCACAGCCCCCCCACACCCTCCCTGACCCCTGCTGCACCCTTGTGCACCCTCTCCAACCCTCCCCATGCCTCTTGCTTGCACCCTTATGCACCCTCTCTGACTCTCGTGGTGCCTCCCCCGCACACCCCCTTGCTCCCCCCGCACACCTGGCAGCAGCCATTTATCTGCCTGCTGGCCTGGGACTTGCAACTTCCTGCCAGTTTCCCCCTGACTTTGGTTGTGGGAAGCCAACAGGAAGTTGCCTCACCTAACGATTGTGGGATTTGGTTAATAACAGCAACCGGGACTGCAGGGATTGCTGTTGCAAAGCAATGCGGTTGTGCTTTACAACTGCATCAGCTTTACGACCGCTTTGCTTAGTGACGGAAATTCCAGTCCCAATTGCCGTCATAAGTCAAGGACTACCTGTAGTTCAAACAGGAAGGGGCTCAGCTGATTCAAATTGACTGCTGTCTGAAAGCATTGGCTGTGAATGATGCTCAGGCTTGAACGGTTTTGGCTGTCTGTGTGGGCCTAGAAGGCTGATGATTCTTTAATGTTTGCAGCCATCGCTGTCTCCCCCATACGTTAATCCTCACCTTCTTTATTGTTTTATGTTGTACCTGTGCTCCTTTCCCCCTTGGTCAAGTTGAGACAGAGGGGTTAGTGGTAGAGAAGGCTTCGGGGGGAAAACGTGGCTGCTCTTGATGAGGTCACATTTCCTCTAAAAGATGGAAATTTTGTGGTAGGGGGGAGCCTGGAATTCTTGAAGCAGTGAGGGTCAGCAGTTCCTCTTACCACTGTCGGCCTGCAGTTCTTTTCTCTTGGTACAGACATCCTTCCTCTCTTCTTTTTAAAGTGGCTTTCCCCAAAAGTGAATTTTCTGTTGTACAAGAGAATGAAAATTGGCTTCGTTTTCAGAATTGTCAGCAATTTAGCAGCCCATTTAGATTGATCTGGTGGGGGCTTCCACAGGTTCAGGAATCCGTGGCCAGCTGCTTGCCGCCTCTCGTGCCTGCCATTAAAGAAGATGCTGGCGGGATGATCCAGAAGCTGCTGCAGCTTTTGCTGGAGTCCGACAAGTACGCCGAGCGAAAAGGAGCTGCTTATGGGCTGGCCGGCCTAGTGAAGGGGCTGGGAATCCTCTCGCTTAAGCAGCAGGAAATGATGGCCAAGCTGACCGATGCAATCCAGGACAAGAAGAACTTCCGGCGGCGGGAAGGTGAGTCGGAGGGTCCTCCGTCTTCCTCTCTCAACTTCTTGAGGACCTTTTGTCTTTGATGGTAGGGCCCTCGTCTGCTCAGTTCTGGTCAAGGGATCCTAATATCCTGATTCAGAAAGGAGCTTGAAGAGGCCAGGGGTAGAAGCTTTGCCTCACAGAGACGTGAATTTTGTAGAGCGTCTCCTCCCGATTGCGTTGTGGCCAAGAACAAAACTCCAGGCAAAGTGTCTGTTTTCAGACAGATGCCAGATACGCTGCTTGGATGCTAGAGAAGGTCAGATGCAGGGATGATTTTCTATGGCTTCAGATTCGGTAGACTTCTGGAATGCGATTCAGCAATCCAGACCATGCAAGGTGTTTGGCGGGGCTGTGGCTCGTTTTGCCATGAGCTCCTATTTCAGAGAGGAGCAGAAGTTGGTGGGGAGGGGGATGGAGCCCCTGTGGAAGCAGCCACTCACCTTTAACCTGACTGGAGAGCAAAATGAGGGAGCAGCTGTATGGGGTACATTATATTTAAATGCAAATTAAATGAATCCAGATGTTGTTTTTTTAAACTGGGCCCTCCCGCTTCGGAGTGTGCAGCCTCCAGAATGTTGCGCAAAGGCCAAACACAACTCTCAGTCCTAAAAGAGTTGTGGGCCCTGGGGGAGAGACCCGGTGGGTCTCCTGCACTTCCCTGGCTCCCGATGAATCCCCAAGAGGCTTCTTGACTGCACTGCTACTCAGGCAGCTGTTTTTGTTCTTTTTCCAGGAGCTTTATTCGCCTTTGAAATGCTCTGCACTATGCTGGGGAAGCTGTTTGAGCCATATGTGGTTCACGTTCTGCCCCACTTGCTACTCTGCTTCGGAGATGGGAATCAGTATGTCCGGGAGGTAAGACCACCTTGGCTGGCAACCCTGGAGAAGTACAGAGCTTGGGTTCTGCAGAATCCTGGCTGGTTGTTCTCAGATACTGGTTGGTTTTAGAGGTTCTGTTAAGTCATAAGGGGGTTTGATGGGCTTGGAGTTAACCACGTTGGGTAAATCCAGCCATTGTGGTTCATAGTTACGTGTGAATCGAGCCAGCGGTGGCTTGTTCTGCAAGCAAACCATAGACTAGCATGTTACCGGAGTCCTACCATGGATGGGGTTCATACCAAAAGCCATTGCACAAGTTTGTTTGGTATTGGCTAAGTGCCACATGAAAACCCCGCCATTGTGGTTTATAGGTTGTGGTTTGTGCTGTAACATGAAGTTTGAACCCAAACTATTATAGTTTAGAAGAGAATATATATAGCTCAGGGTTGAACTGTGGAGTCCTTGGGGTTCTCTGAGCTTGGTTGTTTTCTTGCAGACATTTCGTTACCTGGTTAGGTAACATCTTCAGATGCAGTTTGGAGATGGGAGATGCAGTTTCAGTGAAGATGTTACCTAGCCATGTAACGAAAGGTCTGCAAGGAAACAACCAAGCTCAGAGAACCCCAAGGACTTCACAATTGTAGTTTATTCAGCAAACCATGTTTAAAATAACACATGGCTTGATGTGATTTGTAACGCCACATTGATTTGAATAGGTTCTGCTTCAATAGAGCTGTTGATGGCCATTGAATCTTGAAATTGGTTGAGGCAGATGTTGATTTTTTTCCTACTTTTTCCTCAAGGCTGCAGATGATTGTGCCAAGGCTGTGATGAGCAATTTAAGTGCCCATGGAGTCAAGCTGGTGTTGCCATCTCTGTTAGCTGCTCTTGAGGAAGATTCATGGAGAACCAAAGCTGGTAAGAATTTGTGTCTGACCTTTTTTTGAATTTGGAGATACACTACTAGCATCTAGGGCTTGGAAAAAGATGCTATTTTTTGTTTTTGTCTGAAGCTGTTACTGAAGTTGGATTGTTTCCATATTGGAAGACTTGGTATGGAATTGGAAGGTCACTTGGCGCAAGAGGTTGTGTATTTACTTCTGGGTCTGAGCATCTTCTTAAAAAATGCATAATCCTTGTGCATCAGTACAATTAAAATTTACAGGCAGTGTCTGCCAAAGGGACCAGTATTTCAGTGGACAAGTTGGGTGGGTATTGATTGCTGTTAATCCTCTTCTTTTCTTTGCTGGAGAAACTGTTGTCCATGTTTGGAAGCGTACATAAGATTGTAAATAAATCCCACCTGAGTTGGTTAGTAACTCCTAAAAACAAAGTAAAACAATTAGTTTGAGTTTCCTATAACATTTCTCTGTTCATTGATTTTTTTTTCTATTTCACTTTTTAAAGAAAGTATATGAACAGATTGAAAATAGAAACCAATTAAAAGAATAAAGCATAAAATGAGTAAACAAGGGATCTAAAAAATGTCAAGGAGATTATAATTTTCCCGTATGTCGTTAGTATATAATGAGTGATTGAATGTAATATATCGCTGTAAATGACTAGTAATCACAGGTTACCAGAGTTGATGACTATACACCAAGGATACTCAGATATGTGTTCTGCAGATGGTGTTAAAATATGAAGACTGGAATTTTAAGCTCTTTTCTCCAGTGCAATTCTCCAGTGCTTAGGAACTCATGGAGACTGATCTGTGTGGGAAGCCCCGTAGCTGGGCTTGGCAAACTTTGATTTGGAGGTGCCATTTGAAGGCAAATGAACTGAATCAGCAATTTGGATCATCTCGGAATCAGTTCAGGGAATTGGAAGGTCTTTTGCGTGTGTGCAAAATCCATGTTCTCCTGTTTCAAAGCGTCAGATCAAGTCAGCAGTTTGAACGGGATTGGAGTTGATTGATCTGGACTGCCTTATTTGTCTATTGAGGAAGTAGTTCAAGAGATGGTGCAGCCTTCTAAAGGCCAGGGCTTTAGCTTGCATGCCTTGAAGCTGCCCCCTCCCCTCCCCCCCCCCCCCCCCCCCCCCCCCCC